TAATTAAAAACCTACGCTTACGGCGTTTCGGTATTATAATGAATTTATGAAAGAAAAATAAATATGCAAGATGATATATGATATATGTATAAAATAAATAAAATAAAACATTCAACGATCGGTTAAGTTTATTCGACAATAAACTAATATTTACTTTCAATATTATTTTTATTCCCGTATGATCGCCAAATGTCCCATTCTCCCATAATGTCCCATACGTCCTGTATATTCTATGAGGAATAATTATCTATAAGAAGAGTCATATGGACATAAATAATGTATCAAAAAAAGAATGTAAAATATTTCCGACACATACAAGAAGCGAAAAGGGAAACATTATTTCATGACTAGTCAAATATTGTTAAGGCAACTCGTCTTTCATAAATACAATGTTTGTGCTCAGTAAATCAATATTTTTCAATCAATCGAGTGAAGGTCGCGCCCAAATTGATGTCAATTGTTTAGTTATCAAACATTCGAGGTCATCACACTATTTTATACAATAAGTCAAAAGACATTTCATTCGTATATTTTCCGAACAAAGAATCAACAGCCCACAACAATGGCGGGAGTTGATAACCGCACACAAAGATAACAAAAGCATTGCTAATGTTTGGAACACGGCCGCATAATGCACAGCCCGACTCAGATGCCACAACAAATTTTTGTATTTCACAGACCTGTGTGTCCAAATCAGATATTACGAATTTTTGCAGGTCCTATTTGGTAATTTTCATCTCATATTATGTTCTATCTATTTTATAAATTTGCTTAATACAACTAAAAAACTATTTTCAAAACAAAATGTTAAAAAGGCTATTTCATGGTTACCTATTGAAAATATAACCAAAAACTGACATTTTTATTTCACGCTTAGTAAAATAAAATCTGCCGCAAGTTAGAAATATGTATTTCTATATGAAGATATAGTATGGGTATCGCATACTGATATTTCGCGGCGTCTCCCACGGCCTCCGTGGCGCAATTGGCTAGCGCGTTCGGCTGTTAACCGAAAGGTTGGTGGTTCGAGCCCACCCGGGGGCGCAAACTTATTTTTGTACTTTTTATTAGAATAAAATATGACAAATTCTTATTTGGTCAATAAAAAAATGATAGATAAAAAATATTTCGTCAAATGTGTCAGTTTATTTTTATACTTCCAAAATTGTGTTTTTTTTTTGTTATAACATTTTATTGAATACAAGAGCAAAAAATGCTTTAATTCCTAGATTCTATTATAGAAAGAATTTCTTTTCCTGATTTATTCACTAGAGAAATATGTACCTTTAAAAAGTATAAGGTGTTAAATACCGTTATTGTACCAACCTCAGTGAGCTCAGTCTCCATCTTCTTGTTGGCGGTGGTGAGCCGGTACACCGCCTCGATCTGGCTCACCTCCAACTCCTCCTTGGCAGCCACAGCACGCTTGGCGCGCTCCACCTCCGACGTCAGCTCCGATATCTTGTCCCTAAACATACACGTCGCTCAGCTTTACCACTTAGCATGTTAAATCTCATTTAAGAAATTCACTGAGGACATGTGCAGTCACTGACCTCAAGCCCTTGATGACCTGTTCATTGTCCTTGTCCTTGGCTCGTAGCTTCTTGATGATGTTGGAGTGGTGCAGCTGCTGGCGGGACAGCTGCTCCCCCTCCTCTTGCAGCTGCGCGATCACCTCGTCCCGCTCCTTGATGCTCTCCTCCAATTCCGAGGTACCCTTGCGCGTCGCTTCGGATTTTAATTTGTCCAACTCCTTACGTAGCTGGTCCTACAAGGTCCATACGCACAGGTAAACCATCGGTGTAACGAATTATTTAATTTGTAAGCTAAATATGTGAAAATCAAACTAAAGAACATTTTAACATAAAAATAACAGTAATTATTTTCTACCTGAGATATGAAGTGGTCAAATAAAATTAATTATCCAAGTATTTGTATGCAAATAAAAAGAAATTTTACATTAAAAGTAAAATATTACCATGTCTTGTGTGCACATGATAACAGCAAAAATATTAAACCTAAAATGTTAAACATGGTATGAGGTCATAGACAATGGCTAATGACCCTTGTCTGTTTACAACAAATATGCATTAACTAAAATTAATTTAATCTATTAACACTTTTTATAAATTTTATCTTATCATAAACATTTACAAAAGAATAACATTGTAACTAATTTTCAGTTAGTCGTTTATTTAGTTTTTTAATTCAAATTATAATTTAACTCTCAAGTCCCTTTATTTTAAATGTCATTAAAAAGCAAAGATAATGTATTTCTACTGTGTTTAAAAGGTATTTAACTTCAACTATTAATTTTTGTAATAAAATATTCAGAAACTTGGCTAACCTTTTCTCTAATGGCCTGCTGAAATTTTTTTTCTAGAGCCGACATTCTTTGTGTATAATCTTCAGTGATGACATTGATGTCACCTGCATCATGCTTTGCCTGCAGGGACTCCATCTGACTCTTCAGATTTGTGTTGCTTTCAATCAGCTCAGCGTTACTTCTACTCACTTCCATTAGCCTGCTTTCCCTTGCATCTAAAATCTCTGCCATTTCACACAGCCTCCGCATCAAACGATCATTTTCAGAGCCTTGGCTTTCATCACTAGTGTTACTTTGCACAGATGTTTCAGACAGTTCTCTGTTGTGACCCCGGATTTTGGTTGCTAGAGATTTTCCCAGTACTAAATCCACCAGATTGGAAGAGGTTGTGCCATCAAACTTGCCTTGTTTAAAGTTATATTTTCCTGGACTATTCCGACAAGAGCTGTGACTGTTATCACCATTTGGGCTTGGTATGATTTCAATATCCGATGATGTGGCTGTCTCCACTTCGTCTCCAGACGTGTGGCCTGATGTTCGGTCAGATCCAATTTTGACTAAATCACTTTTGCTCTCCGAACTAGTGGGTGAAGTCCGTTCTTTGATGCTTTCTTTTTGTGAAGATTCACTGCTGCCCGGAGCACTTAATTGTTCTTTTCCAATATTAACAAAAGTGGAGCTTTCCGATCTTAGTAAATCTGTAGTTACATTGACATTGTAGAATGATGAGGAATCACTTAATTTTTCCATAAGTGCATCCTCATGGTCTACTTCTTTCTTATTGTCTTCTGTGGCTTCTAGTATAATGCTGTCATTGTCAGCATTTAACGTCCTGTCGGACCAGGAGCCATCGTTAGATGAGTTCTCACTGATTTGCATCTTTTGAGATAATATTGGATGATCTAGATGGATTAGTTCTTTATCTGCAAGTTTTTTATGTGAATCAATTTTTGATTTGGGAAAAGGGCTGATAGGTTTCTCATCTGTATCCAGAACAGTAGGTGCAGTACATTCCGAGATGGAATTGTATGACATAGTATCTTCATCATCATCAGCAACCAAACTCACACTATCAGCTGTCTCTGCCCTCTCTGTGGCATCACCAAGTGGAGTTGACTTTTTATCTGATAGGTCACCTGGTGAAAGATTGGAAGATGTGCTGCTGTTTTTATCACTTGCATAGCTATCAAAGCCGAGGCATTCGATAGAGCTAGGGCTAATGAGACTATCTGGTAATATTTCTACTGACTCTGATGTTTGTTTTTGTCCTGTACTGCTGCTATTTGAAATTGTGTGCACCGAAACTTCAGAGTCAGGAGTAGTTTTTAAGCTTTGGGATAACACCTCAACAGAGTCAGAGCTATTCCTACTTGAGGCAAGGGAGAGCCTGTGAGATAAAGACGAGCTAAGTCTATTATCAAATTTAGAAATTAAATCATCCTTCTTTGTGTCCAAACATTCTGCCCCGTCTGACATTACAAGCTGACTTTTTGAAAACAGATCATCCTGGCTGCCATATTTACTGTCAGCAATAACGTTCATCGATTTAGCTTTAGGTGGCCGGACAATAGCAGATTCATTTTCAGATGCATTTTGTTGTTGTTGCTCAAAAAACGAACCTGCAAAAGATCCCCACAAGCTTTGCGAATTTGACTTTGAAGGGCTCTCGGTGACCACTGGCTGCTCCTTTATAGGATCCTTGGAGCTTTCCGCACTAACGGTTAGCCCCCACGAAGCAAAGAAATCGGAATTATCTTTTTGAGGTGTATTGCCGCTACTCAACGATTTTGAGGGTTTAATGGAAACGGCTTCATCGTCGGGCTCCTCACTGCTTTCATCGGTAATATCCAAGGCTTTATCGATGGTTTTCTGGGCCTCTTTGAGAGCAGTTTTAGCTAAACTTGTCAATCCTGAAGTGTCGAACCAATTCATCTTGATTACACATTAGACACAACAATATACACAAATAATTTTCATGTCACGTAATCATAACATTTTAGAATCACTGAATGTTGTTGGAAACGTAATCACAACATACACTTTAGCACAATTAAATGACGTTTACATTTTACATTCCATTTTGTGTTTATGTTCTATGCAATTTATCAGGTTTCTGCACTTGCCAAACACTGACACGGTAAACAGATGAGGGAAAGCTACTGTTTAAATGAATATGGTTCTATAAATTAGTATGTCTTATTATTACACTTCGAGTTATAAAATTATTAACCAAACGAATATATCTGTATTTGTACGACCGAGTTTGACGTTTGATTATCATAAAAAAGGACGTCATTTGACCTGAATTGCGTTGTGGAAGCTGTTACTATATTTTGACAAGACTCACACAGCTCCAGTGGCGCAATTGGTTAGCGCACGGTACTTATAAGACAGTGTACGTGTGAGTAATGCCGGGGTTGTGAGTTCGAGCCTCACCTGGAGCATACTTTTTGTACATATTTTTTTTAGGTACTTTTACTAAGCACACGAAGAACTTCGGCAATTAATTTACTTAAGAAAATAAATAATAATTAGTGACAAATATTTTTTTTTCTTAAATAACATTATTATTGATGAGCCGAGACAATATGACTCAAATACTCAATAATTGATTTAACATGGTCCTATCCATAATGTGCATAAGTTTTATTTATAGAACAGAGTTTCTATTCTCTTTTTTTTGTTACGAAGTTATAAACTTGTGAAGTTAAAGAAGGTTCGCAGCGTCAATCAGTGTGTTCCTGAATTAATGGAAAGAAAAATAAAAGACAATTAATTAAACATAAGAAGTATTTCGTTACTTAAATTAACAGAAAACAATAGAGACTATGATTATTCTGTATTTTGACATAATGCATTGCAGTTTTAAAACTAAAATCTTTATAAATATTAAGGAATGTTTATAATAGTTTTAAGAAATACCAATGAATATATACAAATGTAGATGGGAAGTTAAGTATTTTTTTAAATATCGCTCAATGCTTCCTTTTAACACTAAATTGAATTTTGTTCAATCGTTAGCGGCAAGAGTTCCTTTACGACGCAGAATCTTGAGAATCAAACAGGCTATTTAATTTATATTCAAAATGTTCCTTAGTCATTAACTAATTAACTTTTACCATCGACTGGTTACAAGAAGTTAACAAATTCACATTTTTTTTAAATATATAAGAACATTGAATCAAAAAACAATAGGAAGAAACTATTGTAAGATTGTTTTTAGCATGTTCCTGTTGAGTTGACTTGTACAATTGATGCTATGGTGATTATATCAAATATAAAAGTTAAAAACCTTAAATTACAATATATTGACAAAATGCAACGACAAAGACACATTTCCTTGTTTTAATGTTTGATTAAATTGCCTAAAAGATATAATAATTATTAGATAACACTATTTGGACTACATTTCACACAAACAGCATATGAGTGGTGCAGTGTATGGTGCGGTGTCTACACGACGCCGGTGTTGGCGGTGGTGGGGGGCGCGGCGGGGGGGAACATGAAGGAGGAGGCGTTCCGCAGCAGCTGCTGCTTGAGGAAGTCCTTGGTGGCCGTTTGCAGGTTCTCCTTGGCGCCGAAGTTGCACTTCACGTACCCGTACAGGTTGGACCCCGTCAGCGTCAGCGCTATCAGCACCAGCAGCTGGAAGGTTCACATGATTATTCTGATTAATTGATTTACTCAATATATACTACCAAATTATTTCTGGTGCAGCAAACGAGAAAATACTAATACAAGTAAAAAATCCAAAAAGGAGAATAACAGTCCAGGATGTCCCAGACGGACTTATACCATTCAAAATTAAAGAACGATGGTATTTAAAGCATCCAAAATCACCTACTTGTATGCATTAATGAATACAATCGAGAGAGAAATATCCGAACCACGCAAAATAGAGCTTCCTGATCTCTGCCTACCACTCTGAACAAGCGCGAGTGTGATGTTTTTATACTAAAACATACATACCATCCATTTAAATTTAAGTCCAAAGAGACAGATAACGAAGAAGCCGGACCACATCATGGGGCAGAGGATGAGCCCCAGCCAGAACAAGCGGCTCTCGTTGCGATTCACACGGTTCTGTAATTTATTGCACAAACACAATTTATTATTAAGTAAAATAGAAGCTAACAATTAAAGCAACATCAAAAATATCAAATGATGCCATCAGACACCAAGTAAGTGAAAAAATGCTATTTAAAAAAAGACATGTAAAATAAAATTGAAATTATTACATTTATTATCTAGTGTCTCATGTGATTATAATCATTAGGTACTATTATATGTGTAAGATAACAGTAAAAATATCCCTTATTTGCATACTTAAATATACTTAAGTTACCTGTCGTGATTCAAAGACCCAATGAGATTTGCCATCATCATCCACATAGTTCCACCATCTCAGCCCGACCAAGAGTCGACCTGTCAATAAATATTTAATTGTATAAAATAAGGCCACGTAATATTCAAATACAACTTGTACATAAATACTTTAAGCTATCAAAATGTTATTCTGAGTAAAAAAGACAATAATTTTCTATTAATTTCAATTTGAAAACACCAAAATTCAATTATGATTGTATGATAACAAACAATTTAATCTTTCAATTAACAATATTTGTTTTAGTGTTTAAATTCTACTTTCATGATTTTAAAGAATTCTTACCACTAATGTTTTTGACAGTCCAAAAGTCTGCAGACAAGAGTAGAATCACCAGAACAAAGCTTGCAATGAAGGAGTCGGTGAACAAGCTGCACAGTACGTACACCGCTATCGCCGAACTTCTGAATATCAGGTGGAAGAACACTATGTAGGGATGACTGGAACATTATTATTAACAAATTAATAAATGAATAGTAAACACTGCAAAAGATCAAAACTCAAACAACAGCCATTGGAATGTAATTGTAACTAGTAATTTCACTGATGTAAATAAAATTGTTTTGTACATATTTGTGTTTGAATTCTCCATGATAATTAAAGGTCCGCTGCTCTTAAAGAGGTATTTTTTTTATCTATGTGTGCCTCTCCTGCTAAATCCACATCTTCTTATTATCCGTCCCTTGTGTGAAATTTATGAAATAAATTTAAATCATCCTAAATTATAGTCTAAGAGCCTTATCTAAATATAGATAGAAGATATAGTAAAAGGTAAAACTTACACAAACTGCTTATTTGCATTGTCTTCTTCCCCAAAAGCGATGGTATCGTCGTCCAATAGCGGCACCTGGGGCACACCTGGCTGTAATAGCGCGGTAACACATCTACATCAGCGAAAGCCGTGCAAAGCCAGTGTTTATCCTAGTCTTGTTAAAAATGTATGCAATGGTAAAGATGATATTTCGTGATTGCATGACAAAGGTAATGCAGGTTAAGTTAACAAGTATAAAACTAATGATGCAAAAAAACACAGCAATTTTTTTATTATTGGGTAATTGATACATTATAAAACGCTAAACGAGGAACACTCAACGGGGGTATTATCAGTTAAACAAATAGCACTCACTGTAGCAGAATTCATTGTTTAAGATTTCGTTATCCCTTTTAAAATCGTTTCTTATTTTCTCATCAATTTACAAGTAAATATGAATCATATTTCCATACACATATGTGATTGTAAATAATAGCCCTTGACAGTTTGACACAAGTTTGACAGCAAAGCAATCGCAAATGATGACGGGGTTGACAGCTTCTTGCTTCTGTTGAATTTTTGCAGTTTCATTTCATCCAAAGTTTCATATGTATAAAAGCAATATTTCTTGAACAGAAATTGTTTTCTTTTTTGGTTGTCAGTTTAGTTAGTGGAGGTAAGCGAAAATTCATTGTTATATTTGATTTTTAGAAATTACTCTCCAGTTAGTCTCGATTCTTCTCGATTCTAATCACGATAATTATTTTTTATTATCATCATTCATAACAAAAACATAAAGTACGGCTTATATTCCGTCAGTAAATGAAATAATATTGTTCGGAACATTTTGTATTGTGAAAGTTGAATTTGTTCCTTTTTCATTTGTGTGCAAATATCGATATTTTTACAAATTAAATCGATTTTATGAACACCCGCGAGAACTGTCAAAATTTTGCAGGAAGGCACATGCAACGCTGTTTACAAGTAGGTACTCGCGACGACCTTCTGTTTGTCGATTTTAGAGCGTTGTGTTTTCCTAAACCGCTGTTGGTTTTTGTTTTTCGTACGATGTGTCCAGCCGGCGCGGGTGTCGCGTTACGCGTGTGCTCGTGATCATATATAAAATTTAGTGTGTGACAAGTGCGATTTGCGTAATAAATTAGGTAGTCATGGGTGCTAAAGCAAGTACGGCGAACGGAGGGCAGAGTCCGCGCGCGAGGACATTCTCTACGAGCTCCAGTTCGGACGTGGTGTCCGGGGGAGCGGGCTTCAGCTTGCTTCGCGCGATTCCCGGTATCCAGGTGTCCAGCGACCGCCAGCGGGCGAGGTCCCTCTCTTCAGTCCCAGACTTGCACGACTCCCACGAAGCCATCGCTATCCCCGCCAACTCGCAGAGTTACGAGGCGTCAGCAGCCGCCAGCCCCGACACAGACTCCAGCTCCAACGAGGAGGCAAGCCCTGGCCCGGGCACCTCGCTGTCACTCGGCAGAGTTTACGCCACACACTCCTTGCCATCACATATCTGGTCCATAAACGGTAAGTCTTACATTTCAAGAATTACTGTCATATCCTTAAAGTAATCGCTAGTTTCCTGTTCAGGTTCAAAACAATAATAAATTCAAAAACATATGAAGTTGTAACTTGTTTATTTTGAATATCAAGTAAAAAAAAATCAAAACACCAAGTGGTAAGGAGGAAAATGGTATGTAAAATGAATTATAGACAATGGCATTCTAATTAGACTTTATGTAATAAGTGTGTAAAATGTTGTCATTTTGTGTGTAGAAGAATTGACCTTACAGACAACAATGTGACATAATGCTATCACATTCTTATGTAATGTTTTATAACAAACAGTACAATTTGGATACTTTCCAAAACAAAACCCTTGTTTACTTCCACTATACTAAACTTAATGATTTTTGATGTTTTAATAATAATTTTGATTTTATTCCCTGTGTCAATGTTAGCGGATAGCTTTTACTCAATTAAAAACTAATTACAAATAAAAATAATTTAAATTTAATAAAGTAATAGTTAAAATATTTAATACATATGTGCTAGGGATATACTAAATGTATCTCCTTCTGTGTTGAAGTTAGTGGTTTCTTTGTATTTTTTTAAATATGTTCAAATTTCCAACATATTTGAAGATACTGATGGCATATACTTTATATTACTTAAGTAGCAACATGTTTTCATCCACTAATCGCACAATATTATTGGGAGCTCTCTAATCTATGTTCCTATATCATGATTACATAGCATATTAGTATAAGGTTTATGAAAAGTCATGCTTCATAGTGTTATTGTAGTTGGAATAAAGAAATAAACTAACTTTGATCACTATATATTTTTTTCTATGATATTTTTTTATTGTTTAAATTTAGCACTTGATATGTGTTTTATATATCTGTACAAAATATTAAATATTCATTCACGAGGAAACATTATCTTAATCTTGTATGATAAAATTAAACTTGAGTTGGTTAATAAGTTAGTTTTAAGTTTTGTGTCAATAAAAATTGGATTGCTTCAACTCGGTAAGCACAACTTCATATAATTGTCAAACTTAACTCAATCTGATGATAGTAGTCCCGTAGAACTGACCATATCAATCCCTTACTCTCCTCTCTGATAACATTTTGACAACATTTCCAAAAGTTTAAAAATAGTTCATGAAAAATTTTAATTTTAAAAGGCTAACATATTAAAACAAACAATTCTTATCAAATATTTATTTACTAGCTTTTGCCCTCGACCACGTCCTTGCGTAATTAGTTAATTCCACGAACTATCGACTATAACTTTAGGTGGATGGTGCAAGGACAATTTACATAATTTCCATTTTGTATCGTCATAAGTAGCGAGGGTGTAGTGAAAAGTTGTCGACGTACTATTGTACTATTATGACTCGTGTCGTGTACCCGTTTTATAGCATTTTACTTATAGTAATTTCAATTTACTTGTTCATATTTATAATGGGTGGATGCCGAATTTGTAGAAAGCATCACAGCAGTGTTATTGCAAACTGTTTATACCCAAAAATGTGTATTACGTTTTTGTAATTCGAATCGAATGGTGGATTGCTACAGAAACCAAGAAAAGAACTACCAAAGTCTCAATATTTACTGATACGAAAATAAATATTTAAGATAACCTTAAGATTTACAATGAGAGTAGTTCGATGTTCCGCCGAGACAGAGAGAAATGTCGTTGACGCTTGTTGACTGTTGACTATGTCGTGACTGACGGCTGGTAATGTTTGCTTGTCTTCTGCGCACCTGTGCTGATAATAACTACTTTACAATTGTTTTATTTATTTAAATAATTTGCGTATGTCACTTTCATATACGCGGTTGGTCGTTTCGATACAATTTTAGTTTATTGTGGTTTATGTGGCTGCCACATTCCTCCTTACATTTTTACTCATATAAACTAGGTAATTCTACGATATCTGTGGTAAGAACTCGTTAAGATATTAAAGAACACATACGCTAGTCATCTGTCTGTGAATAACAGAAGTATAATACAAGTTGTGCAGGTGCTGGCCACTTGTATCTCAATGTAATGTTTATCTGTGACGTCACGCGTTCAAAGCCAAACCATCTATATCTGCGCAACTAATTCTTAAATAATAGATGTACATAATATTTTATCGTTGTAAAGCAAATACGTATTTCTACTGGAAGTGGATGTTCATTACGAAAAATAGTAAACATTGATTTATGTAATAACGGTTTTATTTCGCTACTTTTCAGTAAACAATTACTAAGTACAAATATGTTATTTTGTTATAGGACGTAACATTTAAGCATTGTTCAAATAGAATATTCTCTTTCCTTGTTTTGACTTATCTAATCGTTAAACCTGGCCAAGGCTTTTTGTATTTATTGGATTTGTACATTTGGGATTTCGCGCTAAAATATAGCCAGAATTCAATTAGTGGATAGCTTTCTTCTTATTCAACAAACAAGAAAAAACACAAAAAATAAAATAAAATGTTCAGAGCTCAACATTAAAAGGAACAGGTTTATAAATGCTTACAAATATAGCTTGCTAAAAATAATAATCTTAATGTAATGAGGAAATGTGATACGAATTTTTATGCGAAGCCAGTTTAAAGCAGTTTGTAAGTGTTCAGATTTTAGTGTTGACTCACTTTATTGCTTTTTTACGACTTTTAACCTTTACTGATGCACATTAATTAATTAGTTTTATTATTACATAAGCTGTTTCCGTGCGACATCATCCTCGTGAAATAATAAATACTTTATTTTATTGTTCACATTTGTAAAACTTTCAACTCCAAATGGCAATATTAAAATAAACAAATGACAACGAAGGACTTTGCCATTGGCTAACAATTACCGTTACCATGGCAATGTTGCTTCTTTGCTGTTACTTATAGGTTTTGTCCCTTTCTCACATGAAACATTTTTTTACGAGTTATTTAACCTCTACATTTAATCGAAATATGTATGTAACGTGTCGTAAGAGTAAGGGTTTTTATTAAAAAATCAGTGATTCAAAAATATATAGCTGACATACGTATCAACAAAGAAGTGTGTGTTTATGTTTCATTATATTAGTATAGATACAGATAATTACCAAGTAAATCAAGATTTTGTTAGGTACTAATGTTTCATAACATTTTCGTATTAGTTTCTTTAAAACTTGAACTTATAAATTCACTTTTGCACATTTCTACGTTTAGTAGTTAGCCTAACTGTGACCTAGATTTGGTAAAAGATTAAGTAGTGTGCGCGGGTCAAGTGGACGTCTTAATGGTTCCTGAGGCCCGAGCAGCGTCGCCGCACTGCCGGCACAATGTCGACGTTGCCTTTGCAACATGCAGCAATCGATTACTGCAACCGCAGGCTTTATAGCTTAGTAGTCGCTAAATCCAAGTTATTAAAATAATAATACAAAATTAAAGAAATATAAAAGTAAGAAAATCATTTAATTTTAAACAGAATAATGTAATTGCATCACTTATTGCGTCATATCGTGAATGTGGTTTCCTATGTTCTATAATTTAATATCGAGTTTAATTTTAGAACACACAGACAATAACTTGTACCTTCTGGTAATAAAACGCAACGATATTGTTTATTTAAATACATTTGACAATCATTTGTTGATATTTAAATGCAGTCGAGTTCCTGAAGCTAAATGGGAATATGTTTCTATGATGTTAACTTGTAGAGGAATTCAAATAATTTATCGCATAAGATTACACAGGATTAAAGGCTAGGCGACGGATTAGTGCTTATATGGTTGCATCAATATTGGTGTCACAACATGTTGCGTCATTTGCACCTTCCTTTTTGTACATCCTTGGTTTACTTCGCCGATGTGTTAGAAATTAGATAACAAATAAAATAGCTATATCACGGTTCAAATTTAAGTACCTCGTTGCTAAGTAACTATAGTAATTTTATTTCTAAATAAACGTTGTAATATCTAAAGTCGTTGCAAATCGAATATAATTCTTCGCTTCGTTGCTTAGTAAGAAATAAACTTTTATTGA